GTACGGTATGAACTTCAAGCGAAGTTTGTGAGTTTACGCTTGACGATGGCAAAAGTGTGAAATTCTTCGGCGTGTAGCGTGAGAACAATCATCCTTCTTACAGCAATTTCCAAAAAGAGGGATTCTAGCGAAGTTTATGCGGCTGAACTTGACAGTAAAGTAATATTTGGGCTTTTTAAATTGCTATCAGTTATGGCCACCAAGCACTTGGAGCATTCGTGAATGATGTGCACTATCGCCCTCGTAAATTCAAAGAGCAGAATGAATTAAACGTGCAATTTTGCAGTGATCCACTGCTTGTGCGCGTAGGTGAACCTCTACATGAGAAAATCACGCATGTCTCAGAAGAAGGACGGCTAAAGTGGTTAAAGTCGTAGAGAAAAAGTGCATGATAATCTCTGTTGAAAGTTGAATCAATTCTATATTTCCCAGCGGATGAAAGCTTACTTGTCAGCTTCTAATCAGTTATATCGTCAGCAAATCCTACAGAAGAGTAGCAGTTCTATGCTTCAGCAAAGATTCACAAACAAACTGTTCCACTGCGGCCAATCTTTAGCCTAAAAGGCTGCCCACCTCCAGATTGGCGAGCTGTGGCCACCCGGACCCAAAAAAACTTGATTGGCGAACCCCGCAATACGTGAAAACTTTATCTGAGCTTCTAGAAGTATAACTGGAACCCATCAAATACAAATATCACATCAAACCCGCGACTATCTTGCGCACACAACTTGTAAGAATAGCGTTGACTATCTTTATAGAAAAAGGGTTTCGCTTACAAAATCGCATGTGCCGGTTTTGATACCATCTGTCGTGAACAACCTAGCAAATCCATCTTGTCCCGTAGATACGAACATCAATTAATGGTACAGGGACAAGACCATGTACGCCAAGTGGCCATGCACGCACTAGGGACGGCATAAATTGGCCTAAGAGAACACCATTATTGTTAGTGCCTGTCTGCTTAGGGATTGCCCTGAAATGCTAAAAAAACGTACATTTAGATTAGGCAGGCATCAATGAGCATGGCGATTCAGGTTCCACAAACAACATCCAAGAGGACAAATTCTAACGAACAAGCACCCTTGAAGGGAATGCTGAAATATAATAAACGATTGTTGGGGCATAAGTCTGTCAAACTTGGTATAGTTTGTTGGACATTGTTGATTAGTTAATTTTTTGGACAACACTCTTCCGCAAGCGGGGGAACCAGCGTCGAAAAGTTTACGCCATAAAGGCTATGCTTTCTACAGATATTTTATCTTTTTCTAATGCATATATATATATATATATATA